ACTCAGGAGGCTGAGGCAGGAGAATTGCCTGAACCCAGGAGGCGGAGGTTGCGGTGAGCCGAGATTGCGCCATTGCACTCCAGCCTGGGTAACAAGAGTGAAACTCCGTCTCAAGAAAAAAAAAAAAAGGAAGCAGTTCAAAAGCTTCCTTTGCTGGGAAGTCTGCTGTGATGTCCCCAGGCAGAGGTGCTTGCCCCAGGACTTTGTGTGAGAGCTCTATCTGATTTATCCCTCTGGACTGCAGTTATTTGTTCACCCTGTTGTCTCCCCAGCCAGCGTACAGGTTTTTTGAGGGCAAGGTTGGTCTATGTCATGTTCATCGCTCCCCAATGCTTAGCACAATGCCTGAGTCTAGCAGGGCCACAAGTGTTTACTGGATACAGACAAGATATTCCCTAGACTTTCGATTCCATCTCCGTTTGCTAAAGGCATCCCTATCCCCACGCTCAGCATGGGGCCTCCCATACAGCTGGTGCACAGTCAGTGCATATGAACTAGCTGACAGGTTAATCAGAGGAAGATCGGATCAAGGAAGTACCTTACTTAAGCTCTCCTCTCCCCACCCAGCGTTCTGAAACATGCAGCTAGAGGTGAGAGAGGGGCCCGCTGCGAGCTGAGCTTTGTAGCTAAGACCTGAGTGGTGTTACTTGGACTGCTGGAGTACAGAAGAGCAGGATGGCCTGGTTACCATGGCAACCCAAGCTTGCTCTAGGGCAGCTGGTGTTCAGATCTCATTTGGACTTCGAGATGCAGTGGAGAGCCTGATGTAACGATGGTTCAGATGCCATGCAAATCCAAATAATCCCCTCACGCATTTGGCCGCTAGAGGCAGGCACGTGGGTGCCAGGTTATATGAACTGCAAGCTGGACTGTGATCATTTTAGGAGTGGGAGATGCTGATTCAGCTCCGGTCTGGGAGAGAGTTCCCTCGAGGACAGGGGCACATGCTTTACAGGTGCCACTGAGGCCATTTGTGCCACTGTCTGCTGGTCTATTAGCGTCAGTGGCTTGCTGGTGATGCAAGGCACAGCCGGGAGCCAGAATCCTGGCCTCAGGTTAAGGAAGGTGTCAGGAGAGCACCTGGAGGGGGACCCCAAGGCTCCCCCACAGATTACCTGTGTGATTATGGGTGAGTATCTTGGGCTCCCCAAGACTCCACGCCCTGTCCATCAAGTGGAGGACCACAGAATCTACCCCATAACGCTGCTGAGGGAACTTCGGAGCCTCACAGGGTGCCCAGCACACCACAGCCCTCAACAAAGGATTGCTCTGGAACACGTGCTGGGTCACCTTGGAAGAGTCACCACCTTCTTCAGGACTCTGTTCCCAGAGCGCATATCCAGTCTTCCTTCCACTGCTGACGCCATAACTCCGGGTGTTTGCCGTGTGCTCATCCAGTACCCTTGTGGTGCCACACAGGCCACATGCCCCATGCACCCAAAGACTTCCTGGGGGCAGGGGGAGCCTTCCTTCACTTTTGGATTTCATTTCACTTTCTTCAAAATGCAGGGTGCTTTTTAGAAACCGGATTGCTCAGCCTCATGCCTGTAATCCCAGCACTGCCCAAGGCAGACAGATTACCTGAGGTCAGGAGTTCGAGACCAGCCTGGCCAACATGGTAAAACCTCATCTCTACAAAAATTAGTCGGGCGTGATGGCAGGTGCCTGTAATCCCAGCTGCCCAGAGGCTGAGGTGGGAGAATGGCTTGAATGCAGGGGACTGAGCTTGCTATTGCAGTCTAGCCTGGGCGACAGAGCAAGACTCTGTCTCAAAAAACAAAAAGCCGGGCTCACACCTGTAATCCCAGCACTTTGGGAGGCCATGGTGGGTGGATTGCCTGAGGTCAGGAGTTTGAGACAAGCCTGACCAAGTGATGAAACCCTGTCTCTGCTAAAAATACAAAATCAGCCGGCCGTGGTGGCACACGCCTGTAATCCCAGCTACTTGGGAGGCTAAGGCAGGAGAATCGCTTGAACCCAGGAGGTGGAGGCTGCAGTGAGCCGAGATTGTACCACTGCATTCCAGCCTGGGCAACAGACTGAGACTCCGTCTCAAAAAAAAAAGGAGAAAAGAAATCAGATTGCTCTTTTCCTCACTGTAGCAGTAAGCTTAGTCCATGTGGGAAATGGCACCGTCTCTTGCTGTCCTGCCCTTGCCTGGCACACTGACCTCCTTGAAGATCCTGAGACCTTAGTACCTCAGCAGGCTTCCCTCAGTACCTTCCCTTCTCATTTCTCCTCTGCTTGAAGACATTCCTACTTCTTTCTTTCTTTTTTTGAGACAGGGTCTCGTGCTGTTGCCCAGGCTGGAGTGCAGTGATATGATCACAGTCCACTGCAGCCTCCACCCTCTCAGCTCAAGGGATCCTCCCACCTCAGCCTCCTGAGTAGCTGGGACTACAGGTGTGCACTACCAGGCCTAGGTATTTTTTTTTAATTATTATTTTGTAGAGACATTATGTCTTACTAGGTTAACTAAGCTGGTCTTGAACTCCTGGGCTCAAGAAATCCTCCTGCCTTGGCCTCCCAAAGTGCTGGATTCCAGGCGTGAGCCCCTGTGCCCAGCTGTTCCTTTGTATTTTGAACCTGTTATTACATGTTTCTCTTGTTGCTTT